TGAAAGACTTCAACCTTGAGCGGTTTGGTAAAAATATCTGTTACTTGATCTTCAGTCTTTACGTGCTTGAGCTCCACTTCCTTTTTAGCAATGCAATTTCTATTAAAATGATATCTTGTGCCCATGTGTTTGCTTTGTTCATAAAATATTGGGTTCTTGGCTAATGCTTATGCAGACTTATTATCAATAAAAGTTTCAATAGTTTCATCTTGTGTTAAATGAAGTTCCTTCAATAATCTTTTAAGTCATCTAGTATGACAAACACGAGATTGTTACCACATATTCAGACTCACAAGTTGATAGTGTAACAATGGTTTGCTTTTTAGAACTCTATGTAATTACACAATCACTTATAAAGAATACAAAACTAATTGTACTTTTTATATCATCAATATCTTCAGCGAAATCACTATCACAAAATCCCACAAGCTTGAAATATTAGAAGATGAATAAAATAACTCAAAATCAATAGTACTTTTAAGGTAGTGTAGAACTCTTTTAGCAACATTCATGTAGGAGCTAGTAGAAGCTTTTATAAAACGACTATTAGTCCAACTGTAAAAAGAATATCAGGCCTTGTAAATGTCAAGTATCTCAAACTTCTCATAAGACTTTTAAAGAGAGTAAGATCTACTTTTTTTCTATTATTAAACTTTGATACTTGACTCCACATTCCATATGCGTATTTACAGAATTGCAATTAAGCATTTTAAATTTCTCTAAGATTTTTCTTGCATAGCCTTTTTGAGAAATAAAAATACCATATTCTATTTGCTTCACCTTAAGGCCCAAATAGTAAGATATGAGCCTCATATCAATCATTTTAAATTCAAGTAACATGTTTTTCTTAAATTCTTCAAACAAATTTGGATTGTTGCTCGTGAAGATGAGATCATCCTTATATAGACAAACAAATAAAATATTACCATTAGAATGATACTTCACATAAAAAGCATATTCATGAAGGCGATGAACAAATTTATTATCTTCAAAATACTTGTTTATATGGTTATTCCATGCTTTTGGCACTTACTTTAGCCTATACAAAGCTTTCTTCAATTTTAACACTTTATTTTCATGTTCTTCAACCATGAAATGCAATGGTTGTTTTATATAAATCTCTTCATTAAGATAGCCATTGAGAAATGCCAATTTCACATCAAGTTAAAAAATTTTCTACTTCATTTGAGTTGAAATAGCTAAGAATAAGCAAATAGTCTTCATGCGATCAACTGATGCAAAAACATCATCATAATCAACCTCATGTTTCTGCTTGTATTCTTTAGCCATAAGTCTTACCTTGTAACTTTTCATATTTTCTTGAGAATCATTTTTTACTTTATAGACCCATTTGACACTAATAGCTTTATGTCTCTTAGGAAAAATGGATAACTCTCATGTGTTGTTATTTTCTATGGATTTGATCTCTTCCTCTATGGCTTATCTCCATCTTGCATCTTTGATAATTTTATCAAAATTCATTGATTCACTGTCAAGAAAAAGACAAAACAAATCATTTATATCAAAATTAATCTCCTCAGTTTCATCATATATATCTTAAATGTTCTTCATCTTTTGTTGCCTTTCACTTGAACTTCCTTGAGAAGTGCTGATGCAACATGAGTTGGAGAATAAGGTGGAGTTGCCTCTTGCAAAGGTACCATGGTCTCTTGGTCTTCCTCTTTAAAGTATGGAAAGAAATCATAAGTATTTTTTTCTTTCTTCTCCCAATTCCAAGTCACTTGTTCATCAAATTAATATCTTTACTTACCATGATCTTGTCATTGCTTGAATTATACAATTTATAGCCCTTTGAGTTTGCATCATACCTAATAAAAATATGTTTGACACTTCGATCATCGAGTTTGG